CCTCATGCCCGAGCACTTCACACACACACACACACACACACACACTAACAGTACATGGAAGGAAACAGGAAAGCATTAGTAGAATAAAAAGTAGAGTGATATTCACAAGATGTTAGAAATTGGAATTGCAGATTCAAAATATTAAATAAGTGTGTTAAAAAATTAAAAAATGTGATTAAGAAATAATTGAAAATAAAAATGACCCAGTTTGTCTTTTCAAAAGACCAAGTAGAACTTCACGAAATTAAAGATGTAAAAATCAAAGATAAAAACTCTGGGTTTAAAGTAAATGGTACATTAAAAACAGTGAAATGAAAATTGGAAACTAAAAGAAAAATGCGGGAGAGATTGTCCAACACTGACCAGCGTCCCTGCCCCAGGGAGAGAGAGAAGCTGGGGAGGGTTCAGGGCCCTGCCCCATACCTGACAGTGACCTGGGCAGGGTCAAAGGGAAGTCTGCCCAGTCCACAAAATTCACAGAGAGTGGAACTTGTGTTCAGACATATGGAGGTTGGGAGGGACATCCCCACTTAGAAGACTCATGATTTGTTGTAGAATATTAAGAGAAAAGGCTCTAAGAAAAAGCTCACAGAGAGAAAAGACAGATGGAGTGATAGGACAGCAGCTGACTGTCCACCCATCAGAGGAGGCCGAGACACTCCGAATAACGCCTTCAAGAATTCTGGAGAAAATGAGCTCAGCCCAAGTTGTGTGCTCAGCAAAACTGTCTTTCAAGAAACACATTATCCCACTGACAAGCTAAACAAAGTGAAAAGTTGCTTCTTTGAAAAGACTATCAAAACTAACAAACTTCTACAAGAAAAAAAGAGAACAAAAAGAAAAAGGACTCAGTTAAAGATGCCACAATTCAGTTGTTATACAAATCATGCAGACATACTTCTGAACAGAAACTTTTGATATAAATTAAATGTACTATAAATAAGTGGAAGATATAATCTGGAATTTAACAGATGTTCTCAGATTTACATGAGACATATCATAGGGAGACCAAGGAGGGGGAATCTTAACAACCAGATGTTAAATTTTGTCTAACACTGTTATACAATTTACTATTCTCTACCAGTAGAAAAGCTGATTGTGCCCCAGGTAATAAGGTCAATGAGAAAAGGGAAAATTCACACACAACATTGGAGTAGTTGGACATCAACATTGTCTCCTATTGTAAATCAAACACAAAAATGAAAAATAAAATTATTAAAGATTTTAAAAATGCTGTACAGACATTTTTATTTCCTCTGGATAGCAACTATTTCTTTACGAAAACACAAATGATATAATCTGTAAAGTGCTTCCTAAATTTGAGAGCATTGAAAGAGTAATTCAAGGTTCATCACAAAACCCTACGTAATAATGACAAAGCAGAAGTAGGGGAAATGTATTTGGAACACATAACCAATAAAAGGTTATTTCCCAAATAAATAATGTGGAATCAATATGAAAGTGAAAATTTATAAAAAGGTATAAATAAGTACAATATATAACAAAAAGAGGCCAATGAAATGAAATATTGCAGTGATAGCAGTAATAAATTTAAAAGGACACTATAAATATAAACTTATTACATTAATAAAAATGAGAGCCTGTGTTAGTGAATTATGAAGCAGTGGAATTATTAACCAATTACCAGTGTGAGCAGCCCATCGTGGTGACGAGGTGGGGTTGATACAGGGGAAGAGATGTGATCCCCAAACCCTCTAGAATCTGAAACACAAGTTCGTGTTCTTTAAAACTGAAGAATGAAGTCTAGGAACAACGGAGGTTAAGAGTAGGAAAAATTTATTGAGAGAATGATAGCTTCTGTCTAAGAGAGACAGAAAGGGGACTGGAAAGTGGGTTGCCCAGGACCCTATTTCCCTGAGGGTTTTCATGGAGCAAAGCCATGAGGTGAGGCAGGTTCGAGGAGGGCACAGTTGTAAAACCCAAGGGAAAATTACAAGGTGGGCGTGAGGTGGGGCAAAACCATGACCTACCAATAAGATGACAAGTACAGTCACCCAGGTAATGTTGATTAAATGGGGATCAAATGGGACAAGTCACGTGCCAGGAATTTCCTCATTTAAGGTATCAGTCACTGCACTATCTGTAGGGGAGGTAGTACCTCCTTTCTTCTTTATAGTGCTGACCAGTGAAGGTGTCTCAGTTGTTCTCCATGTCAGCTCCTTGCTGTGTTGGCTCCTGGAGGGCGGCCCTGTGTAACTGCCCACAGACAGCTGACTGACATATCTGTCTGCACTGGTGCAATCCGTGGTGGGAGACAAGAATCAGTGGTGTCACTCTGGACACTTCCAAAAAAGTCCACTGTAAGTCTTAGCAGGAAATTCACTGTAGCACTTGTTCTTTCTGTGACCGCAAATCTTAAAAATAATTTAAATACCCACCTGGAAAGCAATGATAAGCCACAGTCAGCAAGCTGTATACTTCAAAATATACACGCGGTACACTTTGAAAATGAGAGAGGTTACGATCATTCCTAACTAAGAATCCCAGCATTGGACGTAAATCTCAGCATTGGCAAATCAAATTATAAATAGTGTCATAGTACATTGAGTTGAAAGTCAAAACATTTAAGCAAAAGCTATTGAATGAAAACAAAGTTATAAACATAAATTTCAAAATACTGGTTATCTCTGGCAATGGGAAGAAGTATGAAATCAGGGCAAGTGCTACATTTTAATCTAAGTGGACATTTTTCTACATTATTTACTTACTATGAGGTGGAGAGCACAAGAAAAATGTGCAGCACACAGGAAAGCATGCAGCTCAGTGAGTGGACCAGGTGCACATCTGCCTGAAACTCAGCAGGTCAAGAATGAGCCTGCTGTGTACCACCTGGCCCACACCTGCCGCCCCGGTCCACCCAGGCCACCCCATCCCAGAAGTGACTGCTCTGTGGATTTACTGTGAGCGCCCATATCCCTAGCAGGAGTGAAGTGGCACAGTTCATGTTTTTACTGGTCTCCCTTTTGTATTGGTGTGTGTGTGATGCATCACAGACACCTGCTTCTGGAGGAACAGGGGTGCACAAACAGCCACATCCGGCCCAGACCCGTTCTTCAGAGTCATTCGTGTCTGGGTTATTTGGTCGATGCTGGACTCGGGGGCTGTGCTTGCTGTACACTGTAGCAATGGTTCTTTCTTTTCACTGAATACTTTTGCATTGCAGCATCTTTACGTAGTCCATCGTGGATGGGTATTTGTCTGTGGTTTGGAGTAATTAGGAATAATAGTACTGTACAGCTTTGTCCGAGCTCCTTGGAATGCATTTCTGTTTCATATTGATAGTTTGAAAAAGACTAAAATATGTTTTACATGTTACTTTACATTATTAAGTATTCCACAATAAAATAAAGTAAGAAACCATCTCTGCCAAATTAGCATGTGGTGAACAGAATTATCTTAATTTTTCTTCTTTGATTACTACTTATGGTAAGCACTTTTCATATGTTAATTTGAATATTGCTCTTTGTGACTTGCCATTGATGCTCTTTACCCATCTTTCAATTTGTATGGCACACTTATTACTGACTTGCAAAAAATCGTTTATTAAGAATTATATAACCCTTGCAGTTTGGTGGTAAAAGGTGCTTTTTATAATTCCCCATTTTTTACTATTTACAATTTTAATAACTTAAACCTACGATTATGAAATAAAAATATCACTATACAAGTTTCAGAAAATCAAATCAATAAACAAAAACTCTTCGAATATAAACAAAGACCAAAGTAATTCCCTCTGGTTAACTACTGTTAACATTGTAGTGCACATCTTGTGTGTGTTAGATGTGACCATTTATAAGGCATCCTTTATTTGTAGTCACACATAATTTTACAAAAGGGTTTTTTATGACGTTTTGACACCTTATTTTTAGAAATTAATGTAGGTTACATTATCCTTTGAAATTATGTAAAAGCCGTCTCGTCGTGTAAGTCGCAGACTGCGCACTCAGCAGACTCCCGTGAAGCAATATGGCAGCACCGTCTTGTGGGTGCTGGGAGAAGCCTTGTAGAACACTTTCCTCCAGGCAGAGCTCCTGCAGTGGCCTCTCGCAGTGTCAGGTTGGGACAGACAGACGGTGGTGTGGGCAGGATGGAAGCAAATTCTGGGACTTCACTGCACCAGTCTTGGGGTCTTCAGGGTGAGTGTTCTGGTTTTGTCTTCCAGATCCACCTGATACTGGCTAACATTTAGGTTACTTCCAATTATTTAAAATTTTGAACAAATTGTGAAGAACCGTCATGTTAAAATAGCTCCCAGATTTTTAGCGGTGTTCAAACTGTTGATCTCTTATTTTTAGCACCTTTTTGTCGCATGTCTCTGACTGGTTGGAAGTTGGGAGTTGTGTCAGAGGACAGTGCCTGCTGCCATCTTACTCTGGGCATCTAGTTCAGACTTACGGGGGACAAAACTGTCAGGAAAAATAAAACCGGTTTCAGAGAACATGTGTATTGAATATTTAATTTAGAAAGAAATTTTAATAGGTAAGACAAAAAATTGTATGTAAATCTTCCTTTTTCTGCCTCATGGGCGTTATGGAACCTTTACGATAGCTTACTTAGGAAGACAAGAACTTTGACACACAGGTGTTTCTGCCCCGCAGGCTGCAGAGCCCGAGGCCTCCCAGAGGCCCTTTAACATCTTGCCCGTGAAGACCAAGTGGAGCAGCGTTGGCTTCCACGTCCTTCTGTTTGACCTGGAGAACCTCATGGAACTTCTGCTGCCCGCTCCACCGAGCGACACTGGCCCCTCGGGCTCCTTCCACGGCAGTGAGCTGCTGCGAAGAGCCAGGAGCACGGTGGGCAGGAAGACGCTGACCACGAAGAGGAGCGGAGCCGCCAGCCCCCCAGAGCCCCAAGCCCCTCCAGCGGCTGTTGGCCCGGCCCAGGGCAAGGATGCCATCACCTTCCTGGAGGAAAGCCAGGGCATTAAGTGGCAGAAGAAGACTAAAAGCTCCCGGAAGATGCTTCCTCGGCCAGCACGACGGGTGAACACCAGCCTCACCCTGGACACAGCAAAGCTGTTCCTGTCATGCCTCCTGCCCTGGGGTGTGGATCCGGAATTGGACCATCTCTGCACCAGGCACCTCAATATCCTGAGGCTTCAGGGGCCTGTCTCTTTAGGCCTTGCTTCCAACAAGGGCCACTTCTCCCTGATGCTGCCAGGGGGTGATTTGTGCAGCCCCGAAACAAAGACAGAGCACTCAAGGGTGAATTTGTTTTCCAGAAAAGTTTTGGACTTGTCAAATAAATACACAGCCACTCTGCCAAGCTCCCTGGGGACATCAAGAGGACTGGAAGACGATTGTGACTGTTTGCAAGAGTCCAACACCATCACTTATCTAGTGAGCAGACTGTTTTTAGTTAATAAGTTAGTTAACATGCCTTTAGAATTGGCCTGCAAAACTGACAGGTAAGGCACACCTACGAGCTTTGACTAATCCAATCTGGGGCCTAATGCGCTATGTGCAGCTCTCTAATCTCCCTCCCTACCTCCCTTCCTTCCTCTCCTTTTTCCTCCCTCCCTTCCTTTCTTCCTTCCCATCCTTCTGATGGGGGAAGATAGACAGCAACTTCTTTAGTTCAAAACACATTTACGAAAATCTTTGCATTGCTTCTTTAGGATGAAAGGATAATTTAACAGTGCATCCATATGTTGGAAGATTCATACATTCACTAAATACTCATTGTTCTCACATGTACCAGTTATAACATGGGACGCTTTGCAGCATTTGCTGTGATCATCTATACCAGTTATAACATACGAAGCATCATGGTATTCGTTGTTATCACCTATACCAGTCACGGTGCTAGACAGGTAATGGTAATAAAAATGTACACGTGCATAAACACCGTGAAATTCTTCATTCCTGATTTGAATTAAGTGTGCACAAAGAATATTCAAATAAATGCATGTAATGATATATCCATACATTGTTGGGAAGGAAATATTTGAAAGTTTCAGATCGCAAGTCATACTGTTGAGGTGATTATGGTATAGACTCTAGTAGTGCATTATGGGAGGTAGTTTAGTGATAATGGTAGCTATTGCTGTTGGAATGTTTAATATTTGCTAGTCACTCTCTAACATCTTTTTATACATGACTTCATTTAATATGCACAGCAGGGCTGGGACATAGGTACTGTTGTTTTGCTTATTGTACAAATGAGGACCTTGAAGCCCAAGGAGAGAAGAGACCCAGGGCTAACTCTCCTCCAGGTGTTGACGCAGGAGTGGCCCTCCTCTGGTCCCAGAGCCTGGTAACCGCTCTGTGTGGTTTCTTCTCTCCTCTCCCTGGTAACAGTTCGTACAGTTTTCCATAGTCTGATGTGAAAGGTTGAACTTGGGTCACTAAGTGTTGATTTAACAAACCAAGTCCCCCCAGCGCCCACCAGAAGACACATTTTAACAATTAAGATTTGGGTAGCATCTCCCCAAAGATAAAATGCTGCACAGAAAGCAGAACACAGGGAAATAGAAAAAGGGGTGGGGAAACTCTGGTAGTATAAATAAGCAGTGTTAGAGATCAGAGTAAAGAGATACATCAGTGTGGCAACCCCAGGAGGAAGCCTGCATGGAGGTCAGTCGCCGCCTGCGCGGTGGGGACGGTCTCAATCAGAGCTCAGCTGCAGCAGCCCGTGCCAGGCACCGGTGGAGACAGAGCTCCTCCCCGAGGGAGCCGCAGCCTGGCAGAAGCCACCGGGGTGTGCGAATCGCCATCACGCTGTGTCCACCCTGCTGCTTCTGGGTCCTGCGAACTTTAATTTTCAGTCACTAATAAACAGAAACCAGGACGGGGAAACTTCTATGATTCAAACACACACCTTTCCTTAATTTTCTTTTCCTTTGTTTATTTTCTGTTTTCTTTTGTTCATTTTAAGGGCTCAATTCTATTATTTAATTTCGGGTAGGCTTATAGTTATCCTTAGTGAAAATCACACAGCACCAAAGTGCAGGGAGGCAAAGCAGTGGTCCTGGAGTTGGAGCCTGGACCGACCCCATCTTGTCACCCTCCCTGTGTGCCTGGACAGTCCCTGGGCCTCGCAGCCTCACTTTCCTCTTTCACAGAGTGAGTGTGCGGAATGGGTGTGACCAGGGCTTCTGCCAGTCCTAGGCCTTGGGCTGTGGCAGTTTCTCTTGCTGACTGTGACCTGCAGAGCTGACCCGAGACCCCGTGATGCCCGCCGAGGTCTTCGCTCCAGTCTGCCCTGTGCAGCCCTCAGTGCCCAGCACACCTTCCTGTGAAGGGCCTTTCGGAGGTTGTCCTGCATGAGTCAGTTCTTTACAAAAATCCTCCACTGAGACACAGGTGGCACAGTGGCGGTGTGTGGGTGTAAGACTGCCTGTCTAAGGCATTAACTCCAAACTCCAGCTGCCATTCCAGCCCCATTTTTTTAAAAACTTAAAACAGTAAGTTTTAGGTTGGAGTTGTCACACCAATCCTTCCAGCACACTCAGCCTTGCTGGGGTCTCCAGGGCTCAGGAGCCACGGTAGGCACAGTGGCTTGAAGACAGGTGGCCTGAGACCATCCTGACAGTAGCTGGAGACCCCTCTGACCCTGGGAACCCTGATGCTGCTAGGACGATTCCTTGGTGAATGTCAACAAATTGGGATCCAAGCATTTGTGGCAGTGGCCGGAAGTCACGCACTAAAGAGACAGGTCACAGAAATTCCTGGCAAACTAAGACTTGTAATTCTATGGGATGAGGGTTTAGGTGGAGCAAATTGGGAATAGATTCAGGACAGGGATTAATGTGAGGAGTGCTGCTAGAAACAGCCCGTGTTCAGTTCCCAGCTCTGTCAACATGGCTGCACTCCTGTATCTTCAGTTCATTTCCTCAAAGTAATTTTCATACTTCTTCATCTCCTTTAAATCTTCTTTTCAACAGATCCTTCAAAGTGAACTCTATACATAATAAGGTGAAGAGTCCTGTGAATGATATTTTGAATATCTCAAGCTTCTATGGTTATACAAGAAATGGTAAGGAATTTATAGACACAGATGTGATCTGATTTATTTTTTCCTATGAAATAAAATAACCGGATAGCAGTGCTAAAATAAGTAATGTCATAAAAACACATTTCATCGTAGGGTTTTTTAAATGTCTGAAAATCTGAAACTTCAACAAAGGAAATATATGGGCATTAAATTAAGACCATATGTAATATTCTGCAGTTTGTTGCAGTAATGTCTTTATTACCACACACTGGGTTATTGTATGAGATCATTCTTCTGTTTCAGAAGATTGCTTTTCTGAGTAGCAGCTTACGTTCTCAGTGAAGACCTCAGTGTTCAGGTTTTCTTTCCACACCAATGTCTACTTCATCTTCCCCCTGCCAGTCCGACCTCCAGCCTCTGGCGGGTGACCGTTCTGTCATTCCGTGTGCTCACAGAAACTCTGTCATCCTTTTCTACCTTCTCTTTTCCTTCTACCTCACACCCAGAAGTGGTGGCTGAGCCATGTTGGTGAGCTGCTGTTTTGTTTCTATCCTTCCCCAAAAGTTGAATTTGATTCTTTAACCCACAGTCCTTGCCAAGCAAAGTTGGCTCTGACTTCCACCTCATATTAAAGCTGTAACATCACAGTGAGGGCGCAGTGAAGAGCCCCAGATGCCAGCGAGCAGCTGTGTCTGAGTCCAGCCCTGAGCTTCCACAGCTGAGCCTCAGTGCTCCGCAAGCCAGGGAGGATGGAAGAGGACCACAGGGAGCACTCTTCCCGCGTGGGCCCGAAGCAGTGGAAACAGGATTTGAGAATTACGTTGGCTCCATCCTACATGTTTTCTGCAGTTTTTGGTTTTTTTCAAATTCATAGTTTATGGTCCTTCAGGAAAAAATGATTAGTGGTCATGTTCTTCAAATATTTCTTTCATATTCTTGATTTGTGTTATATCTAATACCTTCTAGCCTGTTTCCCTTGACTATTAATATAAAAATATGTAAGAACATGGATATATAAATACATCAATCAGACATATCAAAAACATATTGGACAAATGCTAATTTAAATATTGATGCCACAGTGGCAAACATGTAATCTATTCATTTAAATAGACGATTACCGTAGCAGTTTTCCCACCAAACAAAGCCCCATAATTCTCCCTTCCTGTCTCCCAGGATCTGACATCCGGATGAAATACTTTCGCTACCAGAAAGTCTTCATTGTCAGATTTTCATTTGGATGCTTCCATGAACATTTTTAGTTAACAAAAGGGCACGTGGTGCTCTTTTGTGCAGGGAGTGTCCAGGCTCTCCGTGGACCAATTTCAGTGGATGGAGCCCCACCTCAGTCTCTAAATTTCACACTGAGTATTAAGGCGAAGAGGTAGAAAGGACACTCAAGAGGGCAAACTTGAAAGAAGCAGTACCTAACAAAATGGATCAGATGAATCACCAGGACTTTACCTATGGATCAGAGAGTTAGCTGGGTAAGGGCAAGGCAGAGGAACTCTTTGATTTCACATCTGCTGCTTACTGCTGCATGCAGGCCTGAATTGCAGGAATTGTTTGGATGAGGAAGGATTGGTAAGTCCTTCTGGTGATCTCTCTTAGGTTGGTGAGGAGGTGCAAAGATGGGTTGAAGGTGTGAAAGTGAATGAGACGTGAACTTGCGTTAGTGTAACCGCATCTGGCCCACTGACAGAACTGAATGCCTGCCCCACCCCTGTGACCCACTACCTCAGATTCCTCAGGCCAGCGCCCTGGGGTGTTAGCCTGGCTATATTGTGAAAGACGGCCTCCTGGTGGTTCTCATGTGCAGCAGGGTGAGGGGCCTTTGGTCCCATTGTTCTGAACCTCGAGATGTAAATGTGTCCTGTGCATTTCTAGGTAAGACCAACTCTCTGATTCCTGAGGCTGACCTTTCCCTCGTGAAGTTGATTTCTTGTTGGCGAGACCAGTCTGTGCAGGTATGGGCTCATGCTTGGGAAGTCACTGGGAGTTCTGTGCTGCTGAGATTCTTGGAGACCCCTTCCCCCAGGGGTGCACATGTGCAGCTCCTCTTGTCCTCCTCAATGGCCTCCCCACGCTCCTCTGTTGATGCCCAGATGCAGGGATAGGGATGTATGGGCAGACCTGAAATACCACACAGGTTGGGCCCATGGGGGGGTGGCTCAATCTTTTGCAGGTAACTTCTTAACTTCTTGTCCAATGGAGTTTCAGTTGGAGGCAGAGTTGTCTGTTTTTTCATTTTAAAATGTGCGGGGACATGAAGGTCTCTTTGTTTGGGAATTGTTTATGTGAAATCAGAAAATGTTCTTCCATCCTGAGAATTCCTGATCTGGGGTCTGATTTTGATAGCTGATTTCTTCAGGGTCCAATTCTCTCTTCCTGTTTTAAAGCTTCCTGGGGTGCTGGAACTCCCTGTAGCTTTGTGCATGGCATAGTAAATACCTGTCACTGACTAAGTAACTTTTGGGGGGAATTTTATTCTGCTTCATGAGCTTGATGAATATCAAATCTGTAAGATAACAGTGACAGTAACTCCAATTACAGGTGGCTTTTCTTCGGTGTAGTGAAACAAAGAAAGTTAAGTTGATCCCCTAAGACCAGACACCTGCAGTGGGGATGACAGAGGGGAACTGTCGGCATGGCCCACGAGTTTCTGTGGGATCAGCCATGCTACAGCCTCCTTTCTCGTCATTCCTTCACCCCATGTTACCCTGCTGTGGCCTCCTGGCTTTCTTGGTGTTTCCAGAACAAACAGAGCTGGCTGATTTTCCCAGGATCTCGCTGTACTCTCAGGCTTGAGTTTTCTTCCCTGTGTTTTCTGCCCAGGTCTTTGCCCTCAGTCCACCTTGCTGAGGTCTGCACTGCCCACTCAGCCACCCCAAGCCTCAGCCACGGTCCCGTTACTGGATCTGTTTTCCATGTTGTGACTGCTTGCTCACTCGCTGTCTCCTGGTTGTGTCACCTTGCCGAGGGCAGGCCCTACCTGGTCTCACTGACCCCTCACAAGGCAGGGCTCACCGTAGCCAGCCAATTACTGTTCAATGAATGAATGAATGAATGGCTATGAGACATTCTGTGTCACAGTCCAGTGAACCCTAGAACACCATGACGTACCAGCAGGTCAGTAGTCACCTCCAAAGGGTTTAGTTTTAATGCTGAGATTTTCCTTCCCCCAGTACCTGAAGAATTTCTCAGGTGCGAAAAATTCCGTAAGACAAAGGACTCTACAGAATCCAAAGGTCTTCTGTAGGTCACCTAACTTTGAACTACATTTTTATGTAGTTCGGGCGTGTGTGGACTAATGGACCTGTAAGGGCTTTGATTCAGTGACCCTCTGAAATGCCGATGCGAGAAGAGACATTGGCAGAGCACTTCCTACCCTTATGTGATAGTGATTACAGCATCCTTAGAGGGCTTGAGAATCTCAAGGATCTCTTTCAGAACATCACATTTGCAAAAGAACAGTTTGATTGCCAACGTAGCTGTTTTAGGTGTTGTGTCAAGCAGAGGAGAAAAATGTTATTTCTAGAAAACCAGTTCAAACCCAGATTCTGAGCTTTGGGTTTTTTACAAGTGTCCTAAACATTTATAATTCCATGAAAAACACTGTAACTTAATCACAAAATATTTGCAGGTAACTGAAGCGATACAAGCTGTCCTGTTGGCCGAGGTTGAGCAGCACATGAAGAGTCTGAGGAAGACCCCAGCGGACAGTTGTCCTGTGTCCCTGGGGCAGACAGACAGCAGGGACAGGGTGCCAGCCCCGCCTGAGGTGGACCGGCCTGAGGTGGACCTGGAGCTACAGCCCGTCTGGAGCGCTTGGCAGCAGTGCTGTGAGTACGCTTTACGGTCCGTTCGTCCATGGAACCCGGCTCTGCTTAGCTCTTGCTGAGATGTCACTCTTCAAGAGACATGCCAAGGGCCATCTCTGACCTCCTCAGGCCACTGGGGATATTCCTTCTTGTAATCGCAGGATTTTAAGAGCTTAGAGTCTATTATAATCATAAATATTTTCTAGAGCCAAAGTTTATATTACTTGTAACAGTGTTTTGAAGTTAAGTGATTAGAATTGAAGGCAGGATTAATAGTACTAGCCTGGAAGGATACGGATTACAAGGATACACAGATAAGTATGCATCCCATATTTGTTGGTAATGGCCATCTGCTAGTTTCCTTCTCTGTAGGTAAGAAATATCATACATGAAGTAGGACTGGTTTCATAGCTGGGTCATTTGACCTGGTAATTAACTTTATTATCATAAATTCATAATGAGAATACATATCATTTATGACTATCAAGTGAATCTAAATTTATGTTGTAAAGTATTATCTTACAGCTTAATATCCATGACTTAAAAAGGAAATTGAAATATCAAAATTTGATCACAAACCTAATTTTCAGCTTAATAAGCTTTTGGTGAATGCATCAATTCATAGTACCATCAAATGAATGCTTTTTCAGAAAAAGTGTTGCAAATGTATATATTACATACATGTCCTCCTTTTAGATCTCAAAAGAGATTTTACCTTTATTTGGGACTATGAGAAATGTTGCGGTATTTAAAATGTCAGATCCTAGAACAGGTATCATTCCTGGAAATGTGTTATAATTATTTTGTTTTGTTTTATTTGTTTGTTTTGGTCTTTGGAGACGGGGTCTTGCTGTGTAGTTCAGACAGGCATTCAACTCATGTGTAGTCCAGGCTGGCCTTGAAATCATGATGATCCTCCTGCCTCAGCCTCAGAAGTGCTTGGATTACAGGTGTGCGCTGCCATGTGCAGCTCATGCTTTTATAAGACTCCTGACAGGAGGGTGCTCTATAGTGGGGGATGAGAAGAAGGTATTTTTCAGGAAAGGCCAAAGATGCATGGAAGTGGAGCACTTCTCAACTCGGGAAAGTCACAGATGAAGGCAGATTCACTAGCTAGTGGGCAGAGCTTGGGGTTGTGTCAAGTACTCGGTGGGTGGGTTGGTGTGCAGGAATGAGCTTGGACTGTCTGTGAAGCCCGTGGCCCACCCTGCTGGCATGTGACTCCCATGATGTCACACCGGGCCGACCCCTCTCCTGGCATGGAAGTTGCTTCTGAGGATCAAGTCTGACCCTGATTAGAGATATTGGGCTTTTCCACATGGTTTCATCTGCCTGTGATCTAGCAGGAAGAAGCCTTTCTTTGTCTGTGTTTAATGTAGATTCTGGTTAATTTGTGATAGGAATTGGAACACTAAAGTATCAAAACTCCTTACTACATTGGTGAGTGAAATTTAAAATACTTTATTTAAAAAAAAAACCAAAGTATATCTACAAAATACTGAACATGTATTTCCTAAAGAATTACTATTTCCAGGAAAGTATTGCAATTAAATGGGACACAGCAGGCTTTGAAGAGGGACTTGTGCAAGCAATACTATTAAATGAGTATTACTGTTTCTCTCTTTGGGAAGTATTTATTTTATATATAAAATATTCAGAACTTGGCAAGTTACAGGACAAATTTTAGACTTTCATTTTATTGCTATGAAGTACATTACATGATAATATTTTAGAAACAAAAACAAAACGCTGTTTATTTTTTAAATTTGAAAAGTCCAGAGTTTAAGGAGGTGATGCAGGGACTCCTAGCTGGTGTGATAACCCTCGGATCTCACCGGCAGATTTACTTGGCTCAGTGTCACTGCACATGGCGCTCTGGGGTGAAGGTGCGCTCTGTCTCATTGTATTACACCTTTGGCTTGCTCGTCTTCTGTGGGCACTCTCCTCCCCCTGCTTTTTCCCTAGTTTCATTTATTTCTTTTTTCTTGGTTTATTGGTGCCACTGGGGATTGAACTCAGGCCCTTCACACTGAACTACAGCTCCAGCCTTTTTTATTTTTTATTTTGAGCAGGGTCTCACTAAGTCACTCAATTGCCCAGGCAGAGCTGGAACTTGGAATCCTCCCACCTTGTCTTCCGGGAGTGTTGGGATACAGGTGTGCCCCATCCTGGCTGGTAGCGCATCTCATTTGTGAATCAGGCAGAAAGTAGAAGATAGCTTTGCTGTGCATGAAACTCTGTGCTAGAGCTGAGTGTGTATGGCTTTTGGGCATTATGATAATATGGCAGTTATCAGAAGGGAAAATAGTAATAGCAGTTGTGTGCTCTTGATACGTTCTCACAGTGTGTGAAGTCCTTGCAAATGCCATCCTGTAATTCCTGTAATTCTCACCTAATCCACCTGAAACCTGAGACTCTGCTCCCACAGTTGGCCCTCGGCAGGCAGCTTCATGGGTTTGTAGTTGTCCAGAGCAGTGTTGGGAAAACAGTGCATCCACCGGTGCCCCTCGGTTTGCCCAGAGATTAGCACGGTCAGCTTTGCACTGGCTCTCCTGAATATATATCCTCATGCACCTTAAGAGCTAGAGTTAAAACGCAGTTTCAGAATTCGAGTATGTTAGCTATTTTGGGTGCACCCATGGTAGATACCCTGCTTCTTGAAAGATGCTGCCCGTTACCCATGATTACATGAACAGACTGGGCCTGGGGGTGAGATCTGCGGTAGCCACAGACCTGAGCAGCAGGGAAGTGGCCCAGATGCTCCCCTCGCATTATCCTTTTCTCCAGGAAGCTGTGTTCTCCATCCTGGCAGCATGAAGGAAATTTGCTCTAAATCAGATTGATCTAAAAATTGAATAATTTATTGAGTGGTTTTCTTAGATTTTTTATTCCTCTCTCATAAATCATACTTTCTATTACTAGAGAAAATGCAGAACATTCAATCTTTGCCATCTCCAGCCTTGAAATAGAGAAAATCACAGGGTTTCTAGAACTGTTTGTAGGTGACACGCTGGAAATCAAATGAAGTCAGAGTTGCAGTACAATGTGAGTGTAACTCTGTAATCTCAAGTCTTATTTCTTCAGCACTTTCACTTGTGACATCTCATGGCATCACTTTCTTTGAGGTCTTAATATTTGTGTACTGGTATTTTATATGAGTGGTAGGTTTTATCTGAGTTTACATTTTTACAGGGATTACATTGCTTTCTTCCCAAAATCTATTTAATAAGAAATTGTACAATTAATACTCACACTTAAGGTCAAGATTTATTGCTTTAAAAAATCAGTGGCCTCCATTATTAAAACACATTTGAAAGTTATTTTCCTTTTTTTGGAATGTTATTTGGATCAGTTTGAACAAGTAGTCTAACTTGTCCCATTAAATAAATCGGTTGAGATAGAAGTGGGGGCTTTGTAGATAAAACTGTCACCTCGGAATCATTAGCTGAATTTAAATTCCACCTTAAACTGTGGTTGTGAAAAGAATGCATAAAGTAATGGATATTGCAAATATATTCTGTATTGCATGCATCATATTAAAAGACTTAGCTAGAAAATAAAGTAAAAAATGTGCTTTTTATATGAATAGTAGCATGTACTTTTTGTAAAGCAGAAACTGAGCATGTGTTCTGCAGAAGTGTTTCAGTGGCCCTGGCCTGCAGGACTGGCTGGAGCTGCTTCCTCTGCCCAGTAAGCTGCAGAAGAAAGGAAGCCCTTGTGGTGTGCAGAGCCTCAAGGAAGGGTGTTCTTTACTGTTCTTGGTTATAGTAAACCCATGCTCATGCACCCACTGTCAGGCCTCCAGAGTGAGTGTGAGTGCCGTTCTTATCCTCACCTCCTCGTGTAAGGTACCTTGATTCACACCACTGTCTAATCAGAGGTCACCTCCTTCAGTCTGTACTCTACTGGCACATGTGCCAGTGCCAGAGACCTTTGTAGGTTACACAGCCAACGTCAGAAACAGCTGAGGAAACCCCTGTCTCCTGATAGGGCTGGAGACAGAGTTGGTTCTTTGAAAAGATAAACAAAATTGACAAATCTTTAGGTAGATATGTTATTGGAAATGGAAAAGGAGACATTATAGCTGATACCGCAGAAATGCAAGGTATCACTAGGGATTCTTTTACACAATTATATGCTAATAAGTTGAAAACCCTAGAAGAAACAAACATATTTCTGGACCCATATGACCTACCAAAATTGAGCCAAAAGGATAAAAACAAAACAAAACAAAACAAAACAAAACCTGAAGAGATCAGTAACAAGTGACAAGATTGAGTCAGTAAAAAGATTCTCCAACAAAGAAAAGCCCAGGACCAGATGGCCTCACTGCTGAATTGCACCAAACTTAAAAAAGAAGAGCAAACACCAGTGCTTCCCACTCAGTCCCACAGAAACGGGAAAGGAAGGAGTCCTTCCAAACACAGTGCAGAGCAAACATGGCCATTACTGAAGCCTGGCAAGGACACAGCCAAGAGCGAAAACTACAGACCAGTGTTCCAGATAAGCGTAGATGCAAAAATTCTTAACAAAACGCTAGCAAATCAAACTCACCACATTTTACAAAGGCCATAACCCTCATCAAGTTGGTTTCATCCCAGAGAAGTATCGATGGTTCAGCATATGCAAATCAAAAAAGTCGCATATCACTTCAGGAGAATGAAGGGTAAGAATCATCATCATCTTAAAGATGCAGAAAAAACATTTGATAAAAATTAATGTCTCTTTGTGATAAAATCCATGAACAAATTAGACATAAAAAGATCATACCATGACATAAAAAATGCTGTGTATGACAAACTCATAGCCAGTATCATAGTGAGATCAGGAATAAGGCAAATGTGTCCACTCCCACTACTCTTCTTCAATGTAGTACTTAATGTTTTTGTCAGAGTAGTTAGATGAGAAAAAGAAAAAGTATACAAATAAGGGAGAAAGTCACATGACCTATATGGAGATAATATGGTTCCATACATAGGAAGATGGAAAGACGTCCCCCAAAAAGATTATCAGAACTAGTA